CCTCCACCTCCTGTGGCTTCCACCAGTTCACTGGACACTGCTGCTAAAGACAGTTTTAGTGAATTGTTAGATTCTGATGGCTTTTTGAGAGATGGATACTATTCACAGCACTTTTTAGGTGATCACTATTTTGATGATAATATCTTATTATCTGATAGTTTTTTGAATGATAATGTACTCGGGCAAGACTTGCTTGATCCAAATGTTCCGGAAGACATTGAGGCACCTGGGAATCCAACTTTGCCTAATTTAGATGGAGAATAAAGTGTAGTGAATATGAAGTGTTTTAGTAGGCTAGTGTTAGACTGAAGGTATTTCTCTGTAGACAATGCATCTGTAATTTTAACGCCTGTCCCATGTTTAAAAACATATGTTACTATAAGTATTAAGAAAATAAGAGTAGTTAGTGGTCATATGTAGACCTTACTCAATAGTTTAAGTTAATAGTTAACAATGCTAGAGTGTGTGTAAAAAATAATTAAGCTAAGTTGATTTTGCTCCATTAACTATTTTATTTTTTAATATGTGATGCATATATTTTTCTTTAATTGACTATGACTTTGTACATTTTAATTCAGTGTTCTGGTTTCTCAGTTAAACTTTTTATGTACATTATAATAAAAGTAGCATTGGCCATTTTAACTTATGATAAAATAAAGTATGTAATTAGTATATGTAGTATATATGACATTGATTAAATTTTAAGGTATTAAAACACGTTTAAAATTTGTAGCTTTATATTTAAGTATATGCATTTAATAACTGTGTACATATATATTTGGATCAACAATTGTTAAATATAATATTTCAACTACATTTTAAAAAAATTATAAAAAATAATATAATATTAACGGTATAATAGTATGATATTTAATTATGTATCGTATAAGTTAACTAGATACCTTAGAAAAGTAATTACAAAGTAAAACAGTATATAATGAATGCTAAAATGTTGACGAAAACACTTGTGTTTGAATGTATAATAAGAAATATTTCTTTTAAATGTATTTTAGAATAAGGTATCTTGTAAACAATATAATAGGTATTTATGTTTATAAAATAGAATTCCGTAGTATACAGACGCATATATTTAAACCTGTAAAGTACTTTGATCGCAATTGTAGCGAATTATATAAATAATTTTTCGTATAGTAGAATAAATAGTAGCATTCGCTAATTGCGACGAGAGTATTATAGTATTTGCGCTGTTCAATATCAATCTTATCTTATTCTTCAATTTTTCGGTAGACATTATTATTTACACTTATTACAATTTAAACTTATAATTAATAGCGTATATCTAATTAACCAAAGATTTCATGTTTCAGATTAACAATAAATAAGTTAATTCACTGCATGTGTGGCACAGTACAATTACAATGATTCAGGTAACAGTTATTTACAATAAAAAATAATTTTGTTACATCTAAAATGAAGGTAGAATGATAATGTTAAGTGCTTTATTATATTTACAGAGTACCAGAAATGAACACAAAGAACTTGAACTACTTAAACAAATTATTAGTGATTTTTTCTGAATTAATTTTCGTTGATTATTTATTATTAAACATTATTTCTTTTATGTTGTTTTTGTTTTCTTTATGAATTATCACAGTTGTTTTTAGTTTTTACAATTTTCATTTTGTTATTTGCTCGAAATGAGTTTTTAAATGTACATAATATGAAAGTATCGTATAAAAATAAATGTTCATCTTATTCAAAACCGTTACAAGTATAAAAGGCACTTTGATAATAATTATATACCGCCAAAATTTAGGCAGCTTTAATGCGCGTGCCACAAATTTTCTTAGGTGTAATTTTTTTTTAAGTTTTACCTGTACATATATATTTTCAACATTACTATTTCGGTGTATTGGAGTATCATTCCCTAAAATGGACACGAATCGATATATCTCAGTACCTAAGCGCATTTTGAGTAAATCGATAGGCATTTTAAAATATTTTTGTCACGTGTATTAGTAACCTTATATTTCTTCACATTTGTAATAGAAATGTGGTTATATGACACAAAAAATATACGTTTACAAATCCGTAAATTTAAACAGTGGCCGGATATAACGATGTCTATTAAGTGAGTCGTCATCTTCACGTGTTGGGTTGTAGGCCTTTGGGTTTGATCATCATTGAAGCCCGCTTCAGAGTGTAGTCCCAACCTCGCCAGCGGAACCATACGATCCCTGTAATGGTGAATGGTTTATTTTACTGGATTTATAACTTTTCTTTTACGAAAAGAAAGAAAGTAACAAATTTTTATTTACATCAGTAACAAAAAAATATAAGTACAATTCTTGTCACAACCTTGTATAAAACAACACGACTTGAGAAAAGTATCGACACAAAATAAATTACGTCATATATGGGATATGTTCATTCTACCTAACCCTAATTTTTAAGGTAGTTGATCTGATGAATTAGATCTTAATTATACTCGGGTCTGTGAAATATTTCAGCATTCTTCGTCTATTTCCCTTAGGGAATGTTTACACATATTAGTAAATGTTTATTCCTAATAATGTATTGACAAACTGTTACATTATCATTGTAATACTGGAGAAAATACTGTTCACGGTGATGTTAACCGTTTCCACTGTCGAAACAACCGTACGTAAATATCTCAATTTTTCAAGGAGAATAAGATTATAATATGTTACTGTACGAATGTTTCGGTAGGTAGTAGTACCCAGGTAGCATTTTAATATACCTATGTAGCCTCTAAAATATATGCTTTCAGTGTCATGACTAAGACATTTATTTTCTCCCTTGATTTCGTAATTCTACAGAACAATAAATACGCAGGTAATGTCAGCTATTGGAGGCCATTGAGTGTATAGTTTGTCTAAATAAGATCGATTAATTTGATAAATGACGCATATGAAGTATCGAATTTAATTTGTATGAAGGTAAATGCCGTGTTTATAGATAGGTATCTTAGTGACGAAACAAACACGCATAGCAAACAATTTTGAACTTACGATATTCGGTTTAAATAATTATCGAACTCAACAAAAATTATTATCTTCTTAACTAATTTATAGGACAATACTAGTATTTATTATAGTGTAAAGAATTTAGCGATGACAGAAATAATAGCGAAATCAAATTCAATTACGTATGGCTGTAGTAATTAACATTTAGTTACTCTCAGTTTTTGTTATGGTTATTATTAATTTGAGAAAACAGTGTTTTTGAATTCATAAATTAAAAGTATGAGTCTATCGATTCCAACTTATATGAGAGTAAAAATCGAAAATCGAAAAGATTCATGCCTGATTTTACACAACCCATCCCTACTAAATTGTCAAACTAATCAATCTTTTTTAGACAAACTAGTCACAATTACTAACTAACTAGTCTCTAAATCCCCTATACCTTACTTTAGTCTTAACAAGATTTAGGCTCTAAGGAGCCACTGCGTTCTATCACTGTCTAAGTCTGCTAAAGGCAAACCGTGACAATTCAGTCTTAAAAAGTAATTCTATAAAGTTTTCTCAATTGAAATCTGAAATATATACCTTGTCGGGCAGTTAAATCTTGTGGATCATGAAGGTAGAGACCGTTGAGACCGCGTCCGCAAGACTTCCACCACCAACCTCCCTTCAGCATAGATGCACAATTCAGGGAAGATCTATCGTTGTCTCTATAAAAAAAGTAATATGTAATATAAAATACACGATTTTTAATTCCGTAAGTTTAGTTATCTTTAATCTTTTTACCTCTATCATTCCGTAATACTATTTGATTTTAAGAATTCCCAATGCATTTCTCAATTCGGTACCCAACAATGTATTGGGGATAGAAAATATTACCATAAATAGTTTGCATGCAAAGTAGGTACGTCTAAAGTGGAGAAAGAAAAAGGATAATACCTATTGTACGTTGAGAAGGGACTGTTGTTTGAGCCGTACCACGGGTCGTTTAATGAATCACCCGCATTGCCCTCGTAGCCATCGATCTCTAATTTGTAGTATTCCGCTTCTGAGTATATTTTGAAGTGCGAATACTGCGCATATCTGTAAAAAAAACATAAATACACTATTGTGCATGATAGGTTTAGATTCACCAAACCTAATGGCTTGGGTCTCTTTAGTATAAAATAAAATACACTGTTCTCTAAGTAAGAAGAAGAACAAGAAGCGTTCAATATCTAAAATACCAAAACAGAGTACTAAGCTTTTCCTTGAAATTTCATATTTAAGGGTAGGAAGTAGGTGTATGGAAGATGAATTAGTTTCGTCAGAACAAGTATGCCAATAACATTTATAAATAAAAATAGTTTTACTTTCTTACCTTTTGTTTCCATCGAAGTCCTCAAGCTCTACTCTAAGCATATAATCATCATTATTTGTTAGCATGTAAATGTTTTCATTGCCCAGCCAAAATTCTTTGTTAGGATCTCCGAAACCATTTTTATAATCACTCCAGTCTCGATTAAAATTCTCTGCAGGAACACCATAATCGTCGCGACGATGGATAACCTTCAAAAATATGTTTTTTTTTAAACAATTTATCGTAAATCATTTTCTTGAACATATACTTATTAACGAATTAATAACGAATTTCGTTTATGCTTTCTATTTTTTTTTATTTATAACATTCTGTTATCATTTTAACTGAACAATAAGTCCACATTTTATCTTTGGTTATTTTACTTTCACGACACAAATGGTGTCCTAAGTAAGGAATCCTATTTATTACTGCGATCGAGATGGGCAGGTTAACACAAAGCCTTTTAATCAAGGGGATGTATACATAACATCCACTTTTAAAATACAATTAAGAAATCTTCAAATTTACCGTCCATCCTCCATCAGCGACGTTTTGCTCGCAGAACACCTTTAGGAACCAATAAGTGGTGCCTCGAATTTGTAAGTAATAGACTCCAGAATCCCGCATGCCCGCATTCAGAAGATCGACACATGAGTAACCCTGGAAAATACATCGATCTGTTGTAGATAAGTTATAATAAACATAGCACAATGAAAGAATCAATTGTTCAACATTGTTCGCAAACGCTTTAGAATTAATGAGTATATTTGTCAGTTCGCAACGCTTTAAAACAAAGTTACAATTACCAACAAATAATTACATTTGTTTTAAATAAATAAGCACACATTAAGATTAAAATTTTCTATAATTATTTTATACATCAAAGCTTTGCCAATTAAAAAACGCCTTTTTTATAAATCATTTAAAATCAACACATTGTTACAGGTTGTTATGTTTTGGATATTATATAGTTTAAAAGAATTAAATATATGATACGTAGGATAAATACGATAAAACTTTATTAATTTTAAAGAATGTTTTATATGCACCTAGGTGAAAACAGTGTATTTTAAAATTGATTTGGCGTTACGTATTGTGTATTGATGCTTACGTCTTGAGAATTAACTGCAGCGTTATCTCATTTGTTGTTAAAATTATTGTTCACTAAGTAAATAGGGACGATGCAAAATTTTGCCATTTGCAAATATCACAAATCACTTATTTCTTAACCTACATAGAAAAAACAAAACCGACTTCCAAACAAAATACACGAAAAACAAAACAAAATGCACTAAAAACAAAACAAAATACACCAAAAACAAAATAT